CGGCCACTATTTCTGGCTAATTTTTGTATTTTTAGTAGAGACGGGGTTTTACCATATTATTTGTATTTTTATTTTTAGTAGAGACGGGGTTTACCATATTATTCAGGCTCATCTTGAACTCCTGACCTTAAGTGATCCACCCGTCTCAGCCTCCCAAAGTGCTGGGATTATAGGCGTGAGCCACTGCACCCAGCCAGCTAACTGAATTTAACCTATATCATGATCAAGTTGATTTTAACATCAGAAAATCTAGCTATGAAATTTTCTACATTAATGGATTCTAAAGGAAAAGTAAAACCAAATAACTAACTCAATAGAAATCATTGATAGTGTTCAATATCTATTAATAATTAGGTTAAAAGTTAGTTTCTTAATTTTGATTAAGAAAAGTTTATAACAAAGAGAGAGCTGGAAATAGAGCAAGATGGCTGACCAGAGATGTATGGATCTTGCCCCTGCTCCTCCTACCCAGGAAGGACCAAAGCAATGAATAAACAGGTAAAACAGCTACCATTTTACTGAAATGTTGAAGGGAAAGCACTGGAGTGCAGTGGGGGGGAGTGGAGAGGCAGCTGAGGTGATTGGAAATCCAGGAGAGCAGTGTGGAGTTACCCAGCCTCTGCAGCCCTATCTCCCCCACCCAGCTTCAATCAGCCTGGAGACAGGAGGGACTTCCCTTTACAGGAAAAAGGTAAGCAGAACAACGCCACCAGCCCCCATAGCCTTACCCACAGTCCTTACTATAGGAGAATCCCACAGTCCTTGAAAGCCCCGAGCCTAATTTAGAGAGCTGTCTGAAGTTCTTGCTACCGCACTGCTCTGGATTAGGAACAGAAAGGGTGTGCTCCCAACCTCCACTCACCCGCTGTGAGCCAAGCTGTGGCAGCAGCAGCACCGTGCCATCTTGAGACTAGAGCCACCTCTGGAGTGCACCATTCTATGGGGTCAATAGCCACTGCACCTCTGCAGCATCAGGGCTCCATCTTCTTTCTACAAATCTCACAAGGGTGGCTAAACTCCATAATCCCAACTCTGCATAGATTGGGCCTAGGATCAATTGTGATTCTGGTCCTGCATAACAGAGAAGACAACCCCAACTGTCTGCACTTCGAGACAGTGGAACCACTTGGCAATCCTGCCCAGGGCAAATATGTCTTGAGCCGGCCAAACTGCTGACCATCATTCACAAAGCAGGAGAGGTCCCTGTGCCACCGAGCAGCCGACATGCTGCCCTGTCAGCAGAATGGCTATACTCCTGTGCCCACGGCCTGAGAAACAGCCCTGTGGTGCCCACTGCCATTGTTGACGTGCCCCTGTCCTGCCCAAAGGCCCAACACCCCGATCAGGGCCTATGATGCAGCATCGTGGCTCACTCCTGGCAGACATGCCCTTCGGGCTGGCTGACCAGCTGTCCAACCACATCCCAGGCCTGAGAAACAATCCCACAGGGTGCCCCTGGAAGGCACGCCCTAAGGCTGATCCAGTAACTGTACCCGCACATTTCCAGCCTGAAAAAGTCTTTCAGGCCGCCCCTGGCCAACCAAGAAGCCAGGAGTCCACATCCTGAACTTGAGAAAAAACCCTGTGGGCCACGCTTAGCAGACATGCACGCAGGCCAGCCAAGAAGCCATGTGTCCGTGTTCAGGGCCTGAGAAACAGCTTCACAGGCTGCCCCAGGCAGACACCCCACCAGGTCAGCTAAGCAGTGTGCCGACATCCCAGACCTGAGAAATAGTCTCATGGGCCACTCCAGGACACACATCTCCCGGCCAGCCAAGCAGCTTTGTGCCTTTGTTGCAAGCCTAAGTAACAGCTCCGCAGGCTTCGCCTAGAAGACATGCTCCCAGGACAGCCAAGCAGCTGTGCTCCTGTGTCCAGGGTCTCAGAAGCAGAGCCACAGGCCACCACTGGCAGGCACCCTCTAGGCTGGCCAAGCAACAATGCATTCGTATCCCCACCCACAGTTAACAGTCCCATAGCCCCAACCCCAGTGAGCCAGACCCCAAGTTGGTTGACCCACCATGTGCACAAGTGAGCCCCTGACTTGAGAAACAGCCCTATGCAAAAGCCACATGACCACCACCACCACCTCTTAGCCTAGGCCGCTGAGACATTCACAAATGTCACCAGCATGCTTGTTTGTTTGTTTGTTTGTTTGTTTATTTATTTATTTATTTATTTAT